AGCAGGAATGTAGGAAATTTAAGGGAGAGGGGTGCGTGAAGTAAAAAGTAAACTTTCATGAAGTAAAAGTTCGAAGGTGCGAGGTCACCATTGTCGTAAACATTATTAAGGCAGAACACAGACTTATTTAAAGAAGCGAGTTCAAGTAGTACGTAGACGTATCTCATAATCGTTTGGCACTCTTATAAAACAACAAAAATAGCGAAGGAAGTGAAGAGCATTCCAACCTGGATGGGATTTTGAATCCTATCGTTTCATAAGGCTCCGCAGCAAAGAGCAAGTACTGCCACCTAGAGATAAGCGATATCAGTATAAGTAGCAAGATCAACTGGTAAAAAAAGATCTCACCTCTTATCTGGCGGTTGAATCTTCTGCTCATAGGCAGACATAAATCGATGCCTTGGCTGGATACCTTCGGCAATCTCAGGATAGTCAATTTGAAACAGCAGAGCTTGCTGGCCTGTTGCTGGATCACGCTCACGTGTTACCTACAATTGACTTACTTTTGCTAACACTAATACATTACTGCTTCAAGTTTAGACCGATTGCTAGTTCGTCGCCCCTTCCCCCTTCGGAAGAAGAACTTAAAGATCACAGCGGCAGAAAATTAGTAGCGACGTCAACCAACAAACCTTGTAACCAGGTCGACCAATCTTTACAAACTTTCGCAGTTCAATTTTGGGTTGAGCAGGGGCAGGAAGAAACGGTTGTTCTTGCGCTTCCTTGGCTGCTCGTCTTGCCAAATTCGATTGATGCTTTTTGCCTTGAGTATGTGCAAGATACGACCCTGAAATGCAAGTTTGAATACCGAAAGGGCTACTCAAGTAAAAATTCAAATGCCAGGGAATACTAAACACGTGTGAACAAAAAAAACTTCTTATACATGATGCTTGTAAGTCTAACCGCATCCAATTCTTCTCTGAGCAGAGCTAATGAACAAAAAATTTAACTGAGGAAATGGAATACATTTCCCTACCTTCATTATTGTGAAGTGTTAAACACAATTTACACTCATAAGTGCCCAGATGATTTCGCATGAAATACGGATCCTTTTGCAAATCAATCGTCTCCAAAGCCAGCTGTCTATAAAAAAATAGAGCAAAATATTGCAGAATAAAAATGTGTGTAAAAAATAAAAAGTAGTGAGATGACCAACCTCAGTCGTTCTCTTCGATCCACCCCAGCATCCTGAGCGGATGCAACACCACCACCACCGGTTTTTCCTCCAGCTCTGTTCTGGAAGTCCATCTAAACCAACCAGGAAACATCCTTTACCATATTCGGAAAGTGCAATCACAACAACCGTCAGGTAAGGTATCCAATGCGAAAACATATTGCATGGTAGAACCACAGAAAGGTCAAGTTTATTTATGAAATAAAAAAGTGATACTCAAGAATAACACAAAGTAAATGCAGCGCAGTGTTTTGTCAAATTGTAAGAATGACCGCGGCATTATAAATAATAAAGACAAATTGAATGAAGGCCATGTCGAGATCTACAACGAAGACAGTGTATGATACAAGTAATCGCACCTAAGGAAAGCCATAAAACTTTGACACACAAACGAAATTGATACCAACATAAGCACGCAAATAAGCACAATTAGTAAAAGATCTAGAAAATGAGTAAAATTCAAGTGACACGTTTTGATGAACAAGCTCAACGGGTTGCGAAATCCCCGGCTAAATGTGACCATATTACAGAATATGTTATTATACAAACGAGGACAAACATATTTGCACCAACAACTTAGCGTGAAAGACGACGCGGCAGTGGGCAATACACGTTAGTCGGATATAACAACTCTTCCGGAATTCACTTCCCATGAAGTGATGGTTGCTATTAGCTTGGACGGCAGTTTTGAGCGGTCCCATTTGTCCCTTAAACGAAAAGCAAATATAGAACTCATAAATAATCAAAAGCTCCATTACGGCAGCGTACAAAAAGTGGGCTGCAAAAGGGAAACATAGATGAATAATACAGAAATGAAGTGTCGACCCAGCAGTTTGCTCAAAAAATTAACTATGGCAGAAAGCAAGCCTTCACATAAAGTATGAATCTATGGAAATTCTCTAAAAATATGTGAAATGCACGCGCCAAGAAACGTACCGATATTCTTCGATGTCATGGGCAATCACGGCGGCTAACCGCTCCAATTCGGTCACAGACCATCCGTGAGTACGTTCTACGCACTAAAAGTAGAAAATTGTTGTCAGAAGAAGTTTTTCTAAAGTACCACTTTAGATACAGCAGATCGGGGCTAGCCACGTCAGAAGAAATTAGTCAACAATACGACCATGAGCTTTAGAAAACAATTGTTTGAGCGAAGAATCGCACCTTATTAACAACTTCAGCTAGTTTCGCCTCCGAAAGTACAAGTGATTTCTTGCTGGGTGAGTCAGGTTTCTTCTTCTCATCAACGACTATTTCCATTGGGACACCATTCTCCACTAACTCGTCATCTGTACCACCTTGAGAGGTCGGCTCCTCGGAGCTGTCATCAACACTACTGAAACATCGTAAGCTACTATAAAAATTTGATGTAAAGAAACTTTATGGACACGAACTTGGACAGCGACTGTTGAGAGACTTTACGATAGCAGCTGTCTTTCTCTTCTTGCCGAATTTGGGAAAGCATAACCATTTTTTCTTCTGCTTCGGAATCTCACCCTTTGCATCCCGTTAGCAAGGGTCCTCTGAGGTGCCTAAAATTCTCTGCGTATTCGAATACGAGACAATCAGTAGTGAACTATTTTTTGGAAATGGTAAGCGGTAGGGATAAGACCGCTGAGAAACTCACAATTGGTTTTTCATTCTTCTTTGATTCACTGTCTTCCTTCACTATTTGCGTCATATATCCCGCATTAACACTCCATGGCACAGTCCTTTTGAAGCCAGGTGGTAGTTCCAAAAGCTTTTCGTTGGTGGGTTTAGCACCTGCGTCAGCCAGCATCTTGGCATTATTCTGGAAATAATGATCGAAAATGAACATGGAAAAATCTCAATGTAACTTTTACTACGGAGCGATTGAAAACAAACCTCAAGCGATTCTACAAAATCCACATCCAAATCGACATCGAACAAATCAACAACAGTTTCCCAAAGAGCGTGCGCATTATGCCTGATAATTCTACCTGAAATTAACGGGTTTGGTTATAACGTGAAGAGAAACCTTGATTTCAAAATTGGTCTAGCCCTATGAAAGCACTTCCAACCTTCTTCGGTCGTCGCCGGGTTGTACTCAATAGCATTGTCTCGTATTAAACGAATGTCACTCAAAAGATGGTCGGGATGAAAGATATTCTTGCCTATAAAATTGGAACCGTCATTAAGGGCAAAGCTTAAAAAAGAGTAAGAAATGTTCAATATGCAGCAGGTCAAAAGGTGTGATGAAAGCAAAAATGAAGATCAAAAATTGATTTAACACTAAAGACAGTGCAACGCAGTTACGCGTCACTACTTCACATGGAGGGGCTTCGTTTTTTCGTCGTCTAAGTTTTACTCAATGCTCGGATTCAGACTATATTTTCCTCACAATATAAGTGTCTGGCGTGAGGGACTGCCTAAGAACAAATACTATGAAAAACTAGGTACCTCAATAACGCCTGTCGTGATTAAAATAGGTGGAAAAACGATATAACGACCATTTGATCTTGCCAGGGCACTGCAGTAACTTACCTATCGATTTTGTCCTCCATCTCCGATATACACATTGGATTCTTTATAACGTCGTAGTAATCCTCGACATCCTCTACGTCAACGGGCTTGACAAAAATCGTGAAGCGACGATCACGCCGAAGAGCGCCTAGGAAGATGTTTTGACAGTCAATAAAAAATCTGTCTAATACTTGAGAGGAGAAGCTGTAGGAGAGGAAAATCAATAACGTTTCAATAAAAGATTGCAAAAGGCACTCACTTAGCTTATCCCTTGCCCAAATACGGAATCGACGGAGCTGACTCTCATACTCTTTGACAAGCTCTCTTGCCTCTCTCTCATTCAGCTTCCGTTCTATTGCAGTGTCCACAGGACCAGCTTTCTCTGGTTCTTTATACAGCGAAGCTGAAAACGCTGGATGAATAAGAAACCGAGAATTTCAGAAAGGAAAAGCTTACGATCGAAAACCTTCGGAGGAATCCGAGCATTAGCAATGATATGTTCAAAATAGTGTCGTCGGTAAAGTTCTTTAGGTGGACTAAGACTGAAAAATACGGCACTTTAACAACAATACAATGGACAATATTTTTTCGAGTCACTCCTTTTGGATGTTTGGTTACCTGACACTCTGTGATGGACAGAACAGGTCCTTGATTTCTGAGCAACAAGAATCGTAAGCACGGTCACATGATGCCAGAAACAGAATGGATGTGAAACCATGCATAGAGTCGAGTGCTGTCGCGAGCTATAATAGCCTTGTGAATCCTCATTTCTCTCATTCGTCCACAATGCACAACGCTCTTCGGAGCAAAAGAACTAAGCACATCACATAAAATAATTTTTGAACATGTAAAACATACCATATGTGTAACACTCGGCGGAACCACTGCATACCACTGGTCAATGCTTGGCAAAAGCAAAACGCACGGCCCATTGGCTGCTGAACGAAGTGCCGACTGAATCGTTTGCGCCAATGTTTCCTAGAATGTGCAGATAAATTTCACTGAAACAAAAATCAAATTGAACTGAAAGTACCTCCGGTCTCCCATCAGCGAATAGTCTGGCCACTGCCAAAGAGAACACAGGGAGATGATCGAGCTTTCCGAGTACTGCAGGTAAGACATAGGACGTCTGACCCAGGTCAGGATGAGATGGACTGCCGCAGATCAACAGGCGCACTAAAGAAAACCCATGAAACATTTTCAAAAGCAAAAGCTAAAAATTTCGCTCACCAGCTGGAACACACGGTGGCTGTTCTAGAGCGCGAACCACTTTTTCCAATTCGGATGCTGAGCTGTTTTGAACTGATTGTGAGCTTTTGTACCCTGACGGTATGCGTACGTTCAATAATGAGGTAACTGTGCTTAGCAGCAATATCGAAGTTCGATCATCGAGTTGTCGAGAGGGGATCGAAAGATCTGAATGGTTCACATTAAATAGCAATTAAGGCACTGTTTCAACAGTATTAGCTATATGTATTGAGGAATAGTGAGGATTTTTTAAGGTAAGATGCCAGAAACGACTTACCCCTTCTTGATGCAGGCGTGATCCGGCGCATTGCAGTTGTAAAACAGTTCCTATCAACAACAAGCAAAGAGGGATCTAGCTTGAGGCGCTCTTCTGACATGTAGATATGCGGAAAACGATACCGCAAGGCGACCAGTACAGCCTCGGTGCAAAGGTACTAAAAACTCTTAATGCGATTCAAAAATGAAAAGAAAAGAAAGAATAAAAGAAAAAAGAATAAAATTCTAAGCGACACCTGTAAATCGGCACCACAATAGCCACTGGTTCCCTCCGCAAGCCACGTCAGCGTGCTCTCATCAGGTTGACAAGCTCCCCATTTTGCTGTATGAATGGTTAGTATTTGTTTCCTGAATAGATAACTTGCAACCATACACAACTCCGATGGAATTCATACCGAACCCTACCTAGCATTCGCATCGGGCAGTGAGAACTTCAATTCCCTATCGAATCTTCCTGGACGCCGGAGAGCTGGATCCAATGTGTCCAGACGATTGGTAGCGCCAATGACCACCACCTGATAAGCCTCCGTAAATCATGCTTTCAATCGAACAAAAAGCCAACCAGTGCCATTACCTCTCCGCGGTTGTCCAATCCATCCATCAGAGCTAATAGTGTGCTTACAATACTGGAGTGAATCTGGTCTTGCTTCGACGATCGAACCGGAGCAAGCCCATCAATCTCGTCGAAGAAGATGATGGAGGGGCGCATTGCGTATGCTTGGTCGAACAACACACTTAAATTACCATGGCTCATCAAAACATTTAACCACAAAACAAGAATTATTGATTGAAAAAGTGTAACGGCACTACATGAAAGTAATCAAACATACAAAAACAAGTCGTATTACGTACCGTAGCTGTCTTTCTGCTTCGCCTACCCACTTGCTAAGACAGTCTGCACCTTTTCGCATGAAGAATGCCACCTAAACCAGTAAAACTATAAAAATGCTCAGGCTCTTGTAACAAAGAAAAACTCAAAACAGGCGGAAAAGAAGAAGAATCGCCTAGTATCAGACACTAACCTTCTTTCCACCTTTGGAGCATTCATTCGCCAAAGCACGAGCCATTAGTGTTTTTCCGGTTCCTCAAAAAAAAATCGTGAAGAGTACCGCTCACATTTCAACTTTTAATCGTCCAAAATTTGAATTCATATTCAAAACATGAAACTTCAATCTAAAAAGACACATACCTGGTGGCCCGTAGAAAACAACCCCTTTAGGAGGCGTAATATTAAACTGCTTGAATATTTCAGGATATAACATCGGGAACAGCACAACCTCTTTTAACGACTGGATATGTGCTCCCAGGCCTCCCACCTAAACTGGAGTATCATGGAATATTCACGAATACGGCAAACGTAATAAACAAACCTGTTCGAAACCAATGCCTTTGTCAATGCTCATCGGGTCTATATCTGTACATGATCCCCCTGTTTGGCGTAAGCGTTCACGAATTACTGCTTGGCTCGATGTTAAATCTTTCGCTGGAATTAAACTGCTTCAAAACCTAGGGAATTTTACACAAAACTGCATCTCTTCACATTTCCTTGTCAAGAATTCATTAGGATGATGATGGATACCATACCATTGAGGTTGATGGGCATATATCGATCGCGGGCTTTCGCTAGGCTTCTCTCCTTTCGTCGTTCAAATCGCACGTCATCATTACGAGTTCTGATACGATCATCACTGCTACCACTAGACGAAGTGGAAGAAGAGTCACTGCGCATGTCGCGCCGGCGCCTTCAAAAAGCCAAGTTTTTTGTACAAAGGAACATTACGATGAACATAGCTAAGTTTCCGTAGTAAGAGAAAACCCTTATGAGCACAACGACAGCAAAACGAAGCAGACAGGAGCAACATGAACGATAAAAATCACTCCCGAGGAATAAAGGAACATACCGTTTCGATGAACGTTTTGCTTTGCGATCCCTTCGATCTGTGGATCGACCACGAGTTCGTTCATTTCTCTCTTCTCTGAACCTAATATATGTGAGATGGAATCCAGAGATCATTGTAGCTATGAAAGGGTCCAAACTAAATCACTAAGCAGTACCTATGGCTCTCCTTCTCTTTCAAGGTCACAGTAGCCGCGAATCGATCAACGGGCTGACGGAATTTTCTTAGCGAATACTGGCGAGGTTCAGGCGTCTTTTCCTCATCGTCCTCGTCGGTCTGAAAATAGTCGTGTCTCGCCTCTTATCAGATATTGCAGAGAAACATTAGCCCCTAACTTTTCGTGAGCAGAACTGAACATGAACATGGAAATGAAACTGACCTCTTCGCTAGATTGACTTCCTTCCACCTCACCATTGGGTTCATCCTTTACGGCATCACCTGTCGACATGCGTTCTCTATTTGCATGACGCAGACTACGAGCAGACTCAGAAGCCCCTTTAGAATGATTTCCATTGATGGAGGTAGGAGAGTTGGAAGAGAAGTCGGACCTGTGAAAAAAAGACAGCCAGCTGAATAGAATGGTAATATATGGGCGACTTACGTTATAGTTTTCCTTTCCCTTTTGATTGTATCGTACATGTTGGCAGCTTCTATATCGTACTGTGCTGGATCTCCTTGCGCACTTTGTTCTTCCTAAATCCAAGAAATCAGTTCTCTTCTATACAGATAACTCAGCGACATTACCTCATGATGGTCTCCAACTTCCCTCAGATCCCGTCTCCTGACTGATACACGTTTGGGGCTAGGCGAACGCACACTTTCTTCAGTATATACTTCCTTAACATACCTAAAATGCCTCTAAATCCAGAAGCAATCAGACTTTTGACTCAACTTATGACACGCTACCTTCTTCGCCTCGTTTTTTCATATTCGCGTTCATCTGAAGAATCACTCTCTTCGTAATGATTGCTCCCTGCGATTCTTCTCCCAGACCGCGTGTAGCCAGCAGCAGGTTGTGCTTGAATGAGCTCCTGTGAAGAGTTGAGCTCAACAAGAAATGTTAGCGCTAATGGACAACACTAGGACTTAATCTTCAATTACTATATTTTTAATAATAACTGTTCCCGTCTGATTGATAATTTAGTGGATTTGTTAGGAACATCTCAACAGCGCTGCAATTTCCTACCAACAAGCACTCGCCTAAAATCTCGCGAGCACTCATCGAAAACGCGGTGCAAAAGGAACGAAACAAGTTGGTTACCGTCAAAATATTATATCGAACAACGATGGCAGTACATCCCACATGCTGACTATTGACCACCTCACCTCATGTATGACTACTATTGCTACTACGTGCCCTCGGTCATTCCATTTTTCTGTTTCTTTCATTTTTTTTCACTTCAAGATAGCCTAAGCCCGATAGACGGAGCTGAGGTATTGTTGCCGTCTGCCTACAGCCTAGATGTTATTCGATCCAATTCACCCCTTTTCCACCAATGCAACCCTTATTTAGATTTTCAAAGCCGAATAAATATAAGGCCGATCAGGGCCAAAAGCCTACAGATCTGGGGCAACAAGACAATACAGAATAATGAAAACTTTTGTTTTGAAGCCAGTTGTTCGTGTTTTTTATGAATCAGATGAAGAAAAATTTGTAATATGAAACTAAGGTAAGGCGGAAAAAGTTTGAGGTCTACGATTCACTTATTTCTCAAGCAGATGAATTTGAAACAAACCTTATGTAATTGTGCCGTCGCCGTTCGAATTATACTTTTCATAAAACTGCCACGTAAATGGCGTTCAGCGAGATCATTCTCTGCTAAACTGCGGTAAACCATAGACCGCTCACGACTTGAACGACGGAGATCTTTTTGTGGAGAGAGACCATTGCCGCGCTTCACCATCACCTACCAACAGTTCAAAATGAAAAGGAGGTCCAAAGTTATGGAGAACGTTCAATGCGAGCAATGATTAGTTTGAGATCAACGCAGTGTTGAAGAAGCTCTAATCCTTACAAAATCCATCGCAGCAAATAATAAGAGTAATGGATACGAGATTACGGTCACTGAAATTCAAATACCCGAGATAACAATGTCTTCAATTTGAAACTGCAACAGGAAGAAGGCAAGCACAAACTGTCCAGTAGAGAGCATTTCAATACACTTCACAACAAATCTAGAAGTCAGATTAAACAAATTTCAGAAAAAAAAGCACACGTGATAGAATCACGCACAAAATTGTTTACGAGGAACTCGAGCCAGCAATCGACCGGCGTCGCTCGCCGCACATGACGTCGATTAGAGTGTATATGGTGACTCACGTACAACACGCTATTTACGCCTAGTTTTGTGGTGTTTCCTCCAAGCGAATGGCGTGCTCGTCACAGGCGGTGCTGTAGAAACTTTCGAGGATGGCACAAAACGGCAAGGATGGAACTCAGGCGTTGATCAACCCAGTCAGGGTGTCCCATGCATATTATTTGAGGGTCTCATCCAGTAAGGGCTAGGAGCATGAGGGGCGGCGGTTCATATCGCCTAAAGTGAACCGATTTTTCTCAGGGAAGGAGGCTCCGAGGTGGGTAAAGGGGAAGGTGAATAGTTTTTGTACCACGGTTTTCTTGCAGAAAGAGGAATTTCTGTCCAGTTTATGCGGAGGAAACTGTCGTATCACATGCCACCCATCCCCCCCCCTTTACTGAATGAGACCATTT